TCAATATATGTATGATGGTCCACATTATCACTCTAAGTACTGTACTACCTAACAGGAGGATGGGCTGGTTTGCCTGACTTCACATCTTGAAGAGTATTTTCATAAGTACTTTGCTGGGTTATATGTCAGGGATAGTCGTTACTAACTTTGGCCTGCCCTGATTGTTGCCTTTATTTAACATAGGTATATACTGTACTATATTTGTGTTTTTCAAGATGTATCAGAATTTGTTTATAATATGAGGTTGTTGTATTTACTTTTGTTAGTGGCTAAAAGAGTATTCCTGCAATTTTTTTTTTTTTTCTGGGGGCAGTCCCTACGGTTTCCTGGAACTTACTAGGCTGATATGCTAATGTCAGACTTTGGCATCAGTCATGTGCATGGAGTTCTTATGGGCCTACTGGGACCATGAGCCAGAACATGTCCCCCTCTAGAAAGGCAAGGGAAGCAATGGCCTATAGAAACCCATGTGTAATTGGAAGCATTCTATGTCTGCCATCGACCGGGTTAGGCACCCAGAAAGGTAGGCGTCCCAAAACAAACACCTATTCTGGTGAAAATTGCAACCAAAAGCGGAACGAGTGGATAGAACTCCCCAAACAAAAATGAGCAAACGTCACCCTTCGTCTGCACAGCTCTCCCCACCCCGGGAGCGGGAAGGGGTAGCTCCAGACCCACTGCGCCAGCGATCCACACCCCAGTTCTTGAGGCTGATGCTATCGGCTCGGTTGTGTGCTCTGACAACAGTATTTTTGTGGCACTGTGTCTTGTGTGTGGCGGCTGTTCTCCAGGGGTGCGAGAGCCAGGAGTTATTGCTCAGTACTTGGGCTGCATGCTCCTAGGGTTCCCTTCCCTAGGTGCCTTGTAAGTACTGCCCTTGGTGCTTGGGGTTACTTTCCACAAGTTCCTCGGGGTCTGCCTCTGTGTGTCCGTTTTTCTGCTCGGTTTCTCGGCCGCCCTTTGGGTACTTGGGTGTTTTGTCTCCCTAGTTTACCTTAGGGTAAGAGGCAGTTTTTGCACTGGTAAGGGGCGCAGGGTACTGCACAGATTGTTGTCACCTATCACAGCGGCCGGCTCTGTTCCTTGCGGTACGTTGTCCTCTTGCAGGGTTTTGTTTTTCTTTTTGTTTTTGCCTTGGTTGGGGGTTCTGCCCTATTTGCCACTGGTGTTTGGCCTCACCCTGATACTTGGTGGTGCCCCCTGCTTGGTCCCTGTGAGTATACATGTCTCTGGGGTTCAGCTTTAGACAGTTTGTTTAGTAGTTTTGGGCACTGGTTAGCAGTACCCTTCAAGTAAACGCTCAGGACCCTGGGAATCCCCTAGGGAACGCATGGGTCCGATGGATGTGACCCCGGGGTCCCTTCTCGCTTCATGCGAGTTTGAGGGTTGTTCGGTCCCCTTGTCTCAGGGCGACCCTCACTGTTTTTGCCTCCGTCACGCAGCCTGTTTGGTCGGTGACACTTTTGACTCTGAGTCCTTGAGTCCTGTGAGTATTGTTACTTGCTGGTGACTCAATTTACCCAATCTGTGGATGATCATCTTCGCGTACAGGCTGCGCAGGCATTGCATTCTAGGTTTCGGTTGTTGCAAAGCGCTCAGTTAGTTGCTCACCCGGATGCCCTGGGGCTGCCCCGTTTTGCTTATAGGGACCCGGACTTGGGGGTGGGGATCGCTTCGACCCTGGTTCAGTCCACACCTCCTTGTCCTTTCCCTCATGTTGTTCGTTCTGGTCCCTGAAACGTCTGAGGGTTTCGGAGTCGGGGCAGGGGTTAGTTGGTCTTGAGACTTGGGCAGCCTCGGGGGATGCCCCATCTGGTGTGGCAATGGAGGCATTCGAGTCTTCTCCCCTGGCCGAAGCCTCTGGGTCTGACCTGTGGGCGTCATTCTATCTGGCTTCTATGGCTGCGCCGGCCTTGTCTAGTGGTCGGTGATTGGGGGGAGGACTTGGCCCCGGGTCCTGCAGAGGAGGACCCTGGGGCTGAGGAGGGGCTGACTTGGGGGCCTTGGGCCCCATTGGACACCCGCCTGGGTTTTTCTGCCCTCTGAGTGGGGCTTACTGTTACAAGGAGTGGGGTTTTCTTTTCCCTCCTCTGTGTACGAGTTGGACTTGGTGTCTGCCCCTCCTCTGGTTTGGTTCCGTGTTCTCCCGGGTGCTTCGGTTCCGCCTTTCCGGAGGTTTTCAGCTTATCGCATCCATCCTGCTGCGGTGTGGGGCGGCCCTTGCGGCAAACCTCCTGCGTGACCCGGATTATGCCTCGGCAGTGGATCCCTCGGCTTTCAGGTTTGGGACTTCGTTCAATTTCTGGCTCCATTACGAGGTTCTGGAGTCGTCCTGGCTGGCGGGCTGTCCTGTCTTTACCTTGGAGGCTGGGCACTCATTCTGCTGTTCCCGCACACTTGAGTAGTGGGAGGCTTCGACGGTGCTTCAGGTTTTCCTAGGGGGCGACGTTGAGCACCTCAATGAGTGCTTGTTTGCTCCTGCCCTTCCTCAGGATGTTGGTGTTGTTTAGCTCCATGTGCAGGTTCCCTCCCTTTCTGCGGCGCAGGTGGCGGAGGACTTACTCGCTCGGGGCATTTTGGTTGCGGCCTTGCGCTTCTTTTGGACCTCTTCGGTGGCCTTGCGGTGAACTTCTTTACGTCGGTGTGGTCGCGGCGCCTTTCCCTGTATGTGGCGCCCTTTCCCGCCTGCGTGGCCATCGAGGTCGATGCCTTTCGGCAGGACTGGTCGAGGTAGGAGGTTCCTGTACCTCTTTTCCCCGGTTCAGCTGTTGCTCCAGGTCCTGACTTGCTTGGAGACTTACCAGGGAAGAGTTGTCCTCTTGGCCTATTGGTGGGCGGCCCAGCCGTGGTTTCAGGTGCTGCTTGCTCGGTGTCCGAACCTGCAGGATTTTCCGCGACTCCACCTCTTCCAGCAGATCGGACCAGTACGTCACGTGGATGGTTCGATCTTCTCGAGTCTTCGCATATGGTATTTTTGACTCGAGTTTATCATCATCTCTATGGTGATCAGGTGGCTTCCTTATTAGTGTCCCACCTGCAGGCTTCATCTCAGCGGCAGTATGAAGTTTCCTGGCGGTCCTTCTGGTTCTTCTTTCGTCTTCGTCATTGTACTTCGCTTTCTGTTAGGGTGATGTTGTCCTTTCTCTCTTGGTTGTTTCAGGACCATCTCCTTATGCCTAACACTGTCGCCTCGTATCGTGCGGCGCTGGCAGAGCCGCTTCAGCTTGCTTTCGGTATTGAAGTCACATCTGCGCTGTTTCGCAAGCTGTCTCGGGCGTTGTTTCACCTCCGGCCTGCTCATGCGCCGCCTGAGCCGTCCTGGTCATTGGACAGAGTGCTCTCCTTTCTTTCTTCTCGTTTTGTTGTGGTCCCTTCGGTTCCGGATTGTTTTTTGAAGGCTCTTTTCGTGTTGGCATTGGCCTCTGGGGGTCGGGTGGGTGAGCTTCATGCTCTCCTCCGGCGCAGAGGTTTCTGCTCCTTTAGTCGATCGGTTTGTTCGTCTGCAGCCTTCTCATTCTTTTTTGGCGAAGAATGAGACTGCTGCGTTCCGGAGGGGTCCCTGGGTTGTTGATGCTTGGTTGGTTAGGCCGGGGGTGCATCATGATTTGTGTCCGGTTGTGGTTCTCCGCCGTTATTTGCGCGCCACGGCTTCTGTGTCCATGGATGCGCTTTGGGTTGATCCGGTTTCCCTTCTTCCCTGCGAGGGTGCGGGTCTCCCAAGTCGTCCGCCCATGACGTCCGCAAGTTCGCGGCTCTTGCCGCCGTCTTTGGCAATATGTCCTGGGCTGACATTCGGGCGCAGGGATTTTGGCGGTCAAACAGGGTCCTGGCTGCTCGTTACCTTGTAAACGTTCCTGGGCTCGGTTGCGCCTGTGTCGCTTTGGGTCGGCGGATGCAGCCAGTTGTCTCGACTTCGGGTTGAGGAGTGAGCAGCAACCGCCTCCCGGTTAAGTCCCTCTTCTTTTCCTCTGTGGGTAGTTAGCTCCGGGGAGCCGTAGGGGGCTCCCCTCAGAAAACCAGCGTTGAATGTAATGAAAAGCCATTTTCTGGGAGAGTCCCGGAGGCTCCCCGGCATCCCTCCCTTACCTCAGGTTGGCATTTTTTTCGCATGTTTTGACATCTAGCCTCAGAACTGGGGTGTGGATCGCCGGTGCGGTAGGTCTGGGGCTTCCCCTTCCCCCTCCAGGGGAGTGGGGGGGCTGTGTAGACAGCGGCGCGACGACGGGCGACGTCATACTAGTTTGCTCGTTTTTGTTTGGGGAGTTCTATCCAATCGTTCGGCTTTTGGTTGCAATTTTCACTAGAATAGGGGTTGGTTTTGGGACGCCTACCTTTCTTGGTGCCTAACCCGGTCGATGGCAGGCATAGAATGCTTCCAATTACACGGGGGTTTCTATAGGCCATTGCTCCCCTTGCCTCTCTAGAGGGGGCCAGGTTTTGGCTCGTGGTCCCCGGTAGGCCCATAAGAACTCCGTACACATGACTGATACCAAAGTCTGACATTAACATATCAGCCTAGTAAGCTCCGGTGAGCCTCCGGGACTCACCCAGAAATTGCCGTTTCATTACTTTCAATGCTTTTTTTTTTTTTTTTAGTAAACAGTGTTATATAGCCAGGTCCTGCTGCCTTTGCTGCATCTACTTCTGTTAGTCCAATATTCTCACATGAAGTTTTTCTACACTATGATTCTATCTGCATTTGTATATTTAGGTACAGTACTGCATTACCTTTATTCTGCTCGGTTATCCTGGGATATTCCACTTCACCCAATGTCAACAGACAGGGGTGCGGGAATGTTCCATCAGAATGCTTATCCAAATGTGTGTGTGTAAGGGAGTAAAGTCCAGCTCAGGCCTCACTCATTCACTGTCATGTATTTCGTGCACCTATTACTACCACACCAGTAAGTATGTACAGTAGGATACTAAAGAGCATTTTCATATTTGTGATATAGTAAAGTAAGAAATATTCCTTAAATTTTTTGTTTTTTTCCTTAAAGCAGCTCCATCCCCTACGCAGTGCATTGAATTTCTGGACGAAACGGCTGATTTTCCTGATTTTGAGGAAAGTATAATTGATGACAATACCCAGACTCAGCGTATCCTGGTTAGTATTTTTTTTATCAAGTAACTAATTAATTGTTCGAATTTGCTCTCTTTGAAAATCATTAGGTATAATTCATAATTAAAATGTTGAAATTTGAATTTAGGTGAAGCTGGTGAGTGAATGTGTGAGAAAGTGAGAGAAAGCATGCAAGAAGTGGTGGGATACAAGTAAAGGGAGTCGGTGTATAAAGAGAAAATGGTGGAGTGGTAGTACTAATCCTTATATACAATTGTGAAAAAATGGTGTGGCTACTACTTTGTTTAGTTCCGTGTTGCATTGCATCTGCCCCGTCACATCTTCCCTGCAGGGATGTAAGTACATCCCTTGGGCTTTAGGGTTACCTTCCCTGGGGTTTTCGGGTTCTCACTCTCATAGGGGCTACTGTCGCTTGACATCGGTCTCGCCTGTGGGGTCAGCGGTGGTCTTGGTGCTTTCGTGTGGCCCTGGGTAGGGAGTGTTGCTGGTCTTGCTGGGTAATTGCTGGTTGGGGTGCACTGTGCTGCTCAGCTCGCATTCAAGCAGCGACCATGACACTCTGGCTTCCTGTTGTTGTGGAGCACTTTCGGGGGTTCTTTTCATACTTTTAGATTCTTTCTTGCATGGTGGAGGACTGCCTGGCTTCCCATTAGGTACGCCTAAGTTTCATTTGGTGGTCTTCCACTCAGCCCCTGAGCTTGCTCCTTTCACTGGGGGTCAGTTTGCCCAGTATATAGATGGGGTTCAACCGGCTTTGCAGGATCAGTGCAAAGGAAGCCGAGCACCTGTTTTGCCTCCTGTCATGCTACTTGTTGCGTCAATGACACCGTCGACCCGTAATTGTGCGAGACTTGCTCCCCGCTCGTTATCTATTTTACCCATTCTTCTTCGGGAGATGTAAGGGGTCAAGTGGCTTTCGTGTTGCATAATAGCATCTCCTGTTTTTTGTCCTACATTGTGGCATGTTGAGCTTATTGACTACAATTAGATAAAAGGGTTTGACAATGGGGATATAAATGAGGTATTAAATGTATCAATACAAAATAGAAGATGAAGCAATATACTGTATATTGTATAAGTTTAGATTCAGGAATATTCTGGGTAAATACTAGTTTGAAATAGGGTAGTTTATTTGTGGAATAAATTACCAGTTAACATTATAGACATAGGATTGCTGAAGTGTTTCAAACATAGGCTAGACATGTATATGAAAGAGTTTGAGTGGATATAAATAGGAACTGCCTCGTATGGGCAAACACGTCATTGCATTGTTGTTGTTTTAGATTCAGCTACTCTAAACAAAAAGTTCCAATTAGCACGGGCTATGGTGAGCCCGTAGTGCACTTACCTGGCACAGGAGTGGGGCTGTAACTAAAAATGTTATTGCAGTTAACTTTATGCTTATGTTCACATTATTAGTTGATACTCTTTTTAGAATTGTTTATTTATGGATATAAATGTTTAAATTTTCAAGGGGTTTAATTTCCCAAAACAGGACGATGGTAACCAAAATGGGAGGAATAGTAAAAGAGTTGTTGGTCGTGCTGCACCTTTCAAGCCACATGAGAACTTCAATATATGTGATGACAATGACAGTGTTAATGAGTCAGTTACATTAGCATCAAGAGCCAGGTAAGTTATGTTCAAGTGTTGGACATAGTGAAACCTTTATCTGAGTGTTTCCTTGTATGTTTCCAGAGTCAGGTTTTATGGTCTACATAGGGCACACAATACCCACCAGGCTTTCTTAATTTTGATTCCTTGTGTTGCTGATGTCTGTGCAAGTTGTCTTCTCATGTATTTAGGGAAAGGAAAGAGTGTTGAGTTTAACTTAAGCCACCCCTGTGTATCCAGTTGACTATGATATAAAGGAAGAAATCATAACCCTAAATCATCCCTTGTAAGTGATAATTAGTATTGTATTTCAAAGAACATTCATTGTACTAGAAAATGCTTGTTAGTACTGTACAGCAAATCTACAGTATCTGCAATCAGGTGTCATTGCCGTCACAATACCAGGATCGGGAGATTACAACTCTCATTTGAAGTACAGATCACAAAACCACACTTGGGACAGGAACAGGAGCGTTCGAAGGTCAGTTCAGAAAGGAGTGTTTCAGTGTTTCTTAGATAAGGCCCCTTCGAAGTAACCTGAATCACCTACCCGTATTCAAACAATGCTATAAAAATTTAAGTTAGGTCAACTTACTCAAGTAGAAGAATGAAAAAGCTAGTTTGGAAGAGATGCTAAACACCTGCTAATGAAAACTTCATCACCAAGCACCAAAGAGGGCAGGAAAGAAGCGTGGCCCATGTTCCCAGACTGCGAGCAAGAGATACTGTACTAGTGTACCTGATAAGAAGTCAGGGCAATTATACAAATGCAACCCATTTGGCAAGCAGTTACTCCTGTTATTCATTCCTCAATCCATTCCCGTTGGCAGGATCGCTGGTCTTCTGTTACTTCTTCTTCTGGAAATGCAGAATAGACCTGGTGATGAGTAGTGGTGCCATTGGTACAACTGGAGAACTGTGTATGAGCATCAGGGGTCTGTGACTATTCAGTATCCTTCCAGCTAACATAAGAAATATTCAGGAGAAAATCCACTGGGACTATAGGTGGGCACAAACCTACGACCCCAGCATTGCCAGTCACGTACTCAACCACTAGACCACGGCTGAATTCTCAATCATACAACTGGATTACTACTGAAATCCCAACTGAAGCCAGTTGGGACGTAAGGTGTGGGGCCACTCTGCCCTTCCACCCGAGTGCTTGTGGCTCATACGTAAAAACTTGGACTGGCTTTAGTAGGGGCCTCCAGACTTCCTGTTATTTCAGTCGGAATCCGGTTGTATTACTTTTACAGGTCACGGTGGTTTAGTGGTAGAGTACTCGACTGGCAAAGCTGGGGTTGTAGGTTTGTGCCCACCAACTGAGTTGTAGTGGATATGTGGGCTTGAGATATTCTTCTTGGTCTGTTGGACCAACTGATTGTAAGTCAAGCATGACCCCAGGCTTGGGGTGTAGAAGAACCCTCAGAACCCACTCCAGGTATACTCCAAGTAAATGACTGCAAATGATCCAAATGGTAGTTAGGTTAAACTCCCCTAGTCACAGCTGGCCACTTTGAGGTGGTAAGACCACCAGGAGCTTTCGACTCCGCATGTCAACAGTCCACATCCAGACTCCTAAAAAATCCAAATGATGCACCTGTAATGGTGGGGGAGGGACCCAGGAGCCACTAAGACCCACCCAAAAAGGGTCTTTCAATACATTCAGCGCTAGTTTTCTGGAGGAGCCGAATAGAGCAGCAGCTTCTTGTAGTTAACTAACCACAGAGAAGAAGAAACCATGAATTATTTTTCAGGGAGAAGGTCAAAAGTAGTTCTGCCAAGGCCTAAAGATAAAAGGTGACAGTTTTAGGCATAAGATGCCAATCAAGAAACAACCGAGACAAAATTGCAAAACCACATGAATCGAGTAACACAGTAAGACAATAAATGGCAAAGAGAGATGAAAAGACAAAAAAGACTTGAGTCAGCTACCAAGGGGTCAAGCCTTACCTGAACAAGTCTCCAACCTGGTCAATACCTGGAGCAACATCTGAACCAGGTTGGGAAGAAATAGTGGAACCTTCACCTCGACCAGTCTACTCGAAAGGCATCCACCACGAGAGCCCTGCAATTGAGGAATGAAGCCACATAGGACAGAGGAAAATAGTTCTAGGTCTGAAACGTGCTCAGGACAATCAAATGCTTTGCAAAGTCAACAGGCGGACACATCATCGACTATTCTCGGAAATGAGAGACCAACAGTGAGAATGTTGGACACCCCTGCACGTGAACCATGCTGAAAACCAAATCCTTAGAATCAGGAAGACGCGGTACTCGCAGAGTTCAACTCCAAAGAGGAATGGACCAAAACGGCTCCCCTCCCCATCAATTCAGACAATGAACCACTGAAGAGAGCAGTCAGAATGGAGCCAATAGGAAGATGAACTCTCCACATGGCTTGGCACATTGCCACAAACTTGTGCACCATACTGTGCACCTGAAGAATCAAGCAATGGAGGAGAAAAGTGTCATGGAATTGAAGCCCAAAAAGCCAGAAAAGAAAATATTGCCCAGCCAAGGACACTAGCAGTACACTGAAGTGAATTCGGGGAGCAGCAGCCAAGGAATCAAGCTCGAACGTTGACAATGAATAGCAAGATCCCCACCCAAGCTTAAAAAATGTAAAAGGAACAGGTTGAGGGAAACCTACGGACTCAGCTCGGGCTCCTCTTCAGCCCTTGGGAGCCGGTCGGCCGAGCGGACAGCACGCTGGACTTGTGATCCTGTGGTCCTGGGTTCGATCCCAGGCACCGGCGAGAAACAATAGGCAGAGTTTCTTTCACCCTATGCCCCTGTTACCTAGCAGTAAAATAGGTACCTGGGTGTTAGTCAGCTGTCACGGGCTGCTTCCTGGGGGGTGGAGGCCTGGTCGAGGACCAGGTCGCGGGAACACTTAAGCCCCAAAATCATCTCAAGATAGCCCTAGAAGCTTGAAATGGAGACTCTGTGGCAGACCCGAGTTCGATACTTGATGCCTGAACAAATAGGAAGGCATTTCCAAACTCTAAAAGGAATCAAGCCAAATACACTCCTTAGAGAAACGGACAGCAATGGATCCCCAGCGGGAAGCAATAGCTTAACTATCTCCAGCATCGACGTGGAAGGGGCAATTCCCAAAGAAGGCTGGGCTGTACCCATAGCCAATCGCAGCTGGACTCTGAAACTCCACAGATGTTCTGGAGCCCAGAGCAAGGTGGGGGGCCGGCCTTACAAGGAGTCCATCAGAGCATGCCAGAGAGACAGTGGAAGGAGAAGGAACAGCGAATGTAGGACCGGTAGAAACACCAGCCTCCCAATTTCCAAAACCCCAAAACCAAAAAGGGCCAGCTCTAAGGCAACCACTCGACCACCAAGTCATAAAAACAAAACAGGCAAACAAACCAGAATAGGCTGCAGCTTGTGAAGCTTTGTCACTATGAAAAAAAAAAGATGGATAGAGGCATTAGCTAAAATAGAGGTTTGGTAAACCCAAATATCACAGACCTCAAGGTAGAGGGGCAATATCCACCCAATAGGGGGCAAGGGAAGACAGTACAAATGAACTTTGGGTTGAAACAAAACTGACGGGCAGTTTTCAGGCTTTCTAGTAAGTATTGAGTATGGGCTCAGTGGGTCAATCCATAAAGAACCACACCAAAAACCCATGAGGCTTGTCAGGGCCTGAAGTACCCCGACAAGCAGAACACCCAGGCACTAGGGACGTTTACCGTAAGAAGTGATGTCGAACGCAACCCTTAGGATAAATGTGGCTGTGAAGGGGATCAACGGTATCCCATATATACAAGCACATGAACTCTAGTGCACCCTATATCCAATAGATACAAATTGTAATAAGGGAGACCATCTGAGGGATAGCTTGACCCATGGGTATATTTCAATAAATTTAAGTTATATGACAAAGGAGGATCAACATCCATGCCAGCCGGTCTCTAGCCAGGCCTCCTGGTTGGTGGAAGAGTTTCCCCTAGATGCATGACGTTCAAGGTGAACTACCGCATTTTCAAAGTCCACACAACAAATGGAGTGTGTAAATACACCTACATTTTGCAAATACCAAATATTGAAATGATTCATCAAGTAAACTCTATCCCCAAAGGATAGAGTCCAAAGGATGGCCAACACTTATCTAGGAAACAGTTAGAGACCCGAAAGGCTGAACTCAAGGATTGGTCCTAACTGTTGGACATCTGACAAAGGTTTCAGGATTGATGCCATGGGGAGAGGGCAGCTCCCCCAAGAACTCAACAAATTACAAGGATCCTTAAGAGGCAAAAATATCCTGACAGGAGAAGACTACAACAAAAAGTTGCTGGATTCACCTAGTGCTTAATAATTGTGCCCCATAAAGCAGTGCCACAAGCAAATGCAAACCTAAAAGTATCACCAACTTCATGCAAGTAAGCACATCTGAGACAGCCCCACAAAATCAGCCCAGCCAACTGAATGATGGGGTAGGGGCCCAACTCACTAGGGCCAAATTGATAAAGATACTCTTTACCAAGCTTCCAAATACAAAGACTTAGCCAGTAGGAGCCTGAGAGACAAAGGGCATCAAGAACAACCTGACTGACAAAGTAGTAAAGGGTAGCATAACTGGGTGTCGGGCACAAGATGAGAAGCCTAAAACCATGTCGCTGGGTGATTGGAACCTGAAAAGAAAAATAATTGAGAGAACACAGGTACTCCACTTGATGGTACTGACCTAAGGAGATGCACTGATGTGGAGGCAAACTGCCAAGGCACATCTGACCCTGCTCTAGCTAACCATTGACTGGAGAAGGGAAGAGTAGGTCAGAACTAGAGAAAGTCAGCAGGTAAGGGTAGACAGTCAATGCTAGCATACTACTTAACTCAGGCAGTGGACCCAACTATGCAATACCAGAACACAAACACTTTGTCCTTGATATGCAGAAGGGCAAGGGACAGGAGCACAGTCACGCTGCCCTCGACAGAAGTAGCACTGTGCAAATCGGCAAATTTAGTATTGTACCAGAAAATAAAAGTGATGAATGAATCCAGGCTAGAACGTGGAGTTTGATGAATATGCTGAGGAACAAGGGCACCCAAGGACATCATCTGCAGACAAACCACCAAAGAAAAGGGAACCAGCAGTGAAGGATATGTAGCCAAGTAAATACCATGAAACTAGAACAGCACTGTGTTCACTCCCTATTGGGGAGCTCTCAGGAGGGATTAAGACATCAGTGGCTTTAGATAAGAATTTTATTCATTCCCAGATAGTCTACTTTATTTTCATCCAATTACTGAATTGTTTTGTAGTTCCAATTTTATTACAAGAAATTTCATTATTTTTGTGTCTTACTAAATTTTTCTTCTATGGCTTCTCTCTGTTTCAGGAAAGGTACAGATAAAGAAATTGATTATAGCAAAGTTGTGTGCAAAACACCAACTAAGGAGAGTGACACGAAGGGTCGTTTCCATGGAAATGTGAAAAACGATGGTGCTACTGGGGAATTCAGTAGCATGAATTATCCACACACCAAAGAAATGTTAAAGGTAGCATTAGATATTTGACACTTGTTTGTAGGCCCTCATGAGTTTTTTCAAGGTTCATTTTTTTTATTTTGCTATGAAAGAAAACAACAAAATGTTTATCTCTTAAAAAGTTGTCCTTTCTGAGGGGAGCCTCTATGGCTTACCGGAGCTTACCGGGCCGATTTGTATGTATTAGACCGTGGCATCAGTCAATTGGACTTCTTGCCTACCAGGGACAACGAGCCAGAACCTGGCCCCCTCAGAGAAGCACGAGGAGCAATGGCCCATGGAAACCCACATGTATTTAGAAGCATTCCATGTCTACCATCGATCGGGATCTGGCACCCAGAAAGGTAGGCGTAACAAAACAAACCGCCCATGGTAAAAATCGCTACCAAAACCCTAACAGATAGGCAAAACTCCCAAACTAAAACAAGCAGGGGACCAAACTGAGCATATGCATCAAACAAGCAAACTAAAACAAGCAGGCGATGGAGGGGAGGCTCATGTTGTTTGCTTATACCTGGTCCCACGATTCGTGGGCATATCAAGTCTTCGTCTTCTGGCATGTGGTTACGTTGGGTGGCTCCTCTTCCTGGGCGTTCGGGGCTAGCAGGGCAAGTCTCTACCCCTGCGCTCCGTCGGGTCATCTAGGAGTAGGTGCGCTTTATGGATGAATGGTGAGATGGTGAGGTGAGGATTGGATGGATGGTGAGGGAGACTGGATGGATGGATGGTGAGGGGACTGGATGGGTGGGTGGATGGTGGGGGGGGACTGGATGGGTGGGTGGGGGAACTGGATGGATGGATGGATGGTGAGGGGACCAGATGGATGGCAGGTTAGTGGCAGGGGCAGGCTGGTGGGGAGGGGGGGGGTTGGGAAAGAAAATCTTTCCGATACACCAGCCCAAGAGTCATGTAAGGGAAGAACAGTTTTGGTCTGGGCGGTGTGTTTCGGTGCTGATGTTTTGCGCCCTTTTTTCTCGGGTGCTTCGCTTCTCGCTCTTTTTCCTTCTCCGGTATGTTCCCTGTCGCTCCGGGGGTGTCCTGGATTACAGCTGTGGGGAGGACGTCGAGGTTTTCCCTGTGTCATGTGTATGGGCCTCCTCCTTCGCCTCTACCCTGCTCTCCTGCGTGTCCGCTCTGGCTTCTTCACCTGGCGGTGCTCCCAGGAACTTCTTGGCACTGTTGGGTCGTGTCACGTTCGTGCCTCCGTTCGACAGGTGAGCTTCTGCGGTCTGGCGTCTTTCGGCCAGGCGTTGGATGCGGTGATGTTTATATACCTGTCTTTATTTAGGTATATTTATGTACGAATGAGACCGTTGGCACACCGGTGACTCCCTTTTCAACCCTTCCAGTCCCACTCATAGGCATGTCCAACCCATGCTAGAGTCATTCAGGGGACCCACCTCTTTTGTGTTATGAGGTGTGTGGGTTGTGGTGCTGGTTATGTACTCACCTGGTAGGGCTCTCCTGGTTGTGCTTGCAGGGTTTGAGCTCTGGCTCTTGGATCCCGCCTATATGGAAGAACATGCGGGATAGTACCAGTGGAGTGCAGTGGTGCCATAGGCATAATCGGGGGACACTGTATAAACATCAGAGGTCTGCGGTTGTTACACGTCCTACCTGCGAGCATCCGCTGTATTACCGGTACATCCGTGGACTTCAAGAGTACACTAGCTTGTTTTCTAATAGAGGTTCCGGCCCATCCTGGCTGTGGTGGGTATGTGGGCCTGCGGGCCGTTCCAAGCAACAGCCTGGTGGACCAACCTCTCGCAAGTCAAGCCTAGCCTCGGGACGGGCTTGGGGAGTAAATGAACTCCCAGAACCCCATCAAGCAGGTATCGAGCAGGTGTCTCCGCTGTCGGTCGCCTGGTGTGCAGGTTCCTGGGCCTGCTGGGTTCTGTCGTATCTCCGTTGGCCCAGTCTGGGGTCTGCCTGGAGTCTGCCTGCACCGTTCTCTGCCGTTGCAGAGGCAAGTTGCTACATACATGTTGTGTGTGGTGCATGTTGCTGCTGCTCGTGTGCATTGGTAACATGTTTCGCGGTGACGTGTCCTTGTTCCTGTGTCAGGTTGTGGTGTGACACTTTGCTGCTGTTTTGTGCCTGGGGTTTGCATATGGGGGTTTGCTTGTGTTATTTTTCATGGTCTTCGGGTCCCTGGCTTGGCCCTTCCATGTGTATGGGGTTCTGTCCACGCCTGATTGTCCACTCCTGGCTGTGTTTCTTGGGGTTTGAGCTTTGGGTCTTACGTCCTGCCTCTTCCCTGTTGCTTCTCTGGCCTGGCATCTCCTTTGCTTGGTTTTGCCTGCACTTGCTGCTGTATGAGGGGGGGGTTCGGTTTCCGCCGCTTCCCTTTCTTTTGCGTTCCCTATGTTTCCTCCTCTGCCGCAGGGGTTTTCTTCGTTCGTTCCTTGGCTTCTTGGGTGTTCCTTCAGCCTATGTCATATGGTGCGCTTATGTGTCTTGGTCTGTTTTTGTTGCTCGTACCCCTTGGATCGGGTACTGTTCTGGTGGCAATCCTTACACCTTCTTTGGTTTTCCTGGCTTGCCCTGCCTGTTGGCTTTTCAGGGTCTTGCGATGTCTTGCGTCAGACCCGTTGTTTCTTATTTCCTGGCGGGCTTGCTCGCATTAGGGAGCTTTCTGTTCGGCAGATGTTCCATCTCCTTTGTACCGGCTTGGGCTTTGGTGGTCGCGCCCGAGATCTTCCCATGGCTCCGCCTTTTCCTGGGCTTTGATGAGCCTTTTCGGGGCTGATTACGTTCTGCCTCGCGTGTCTCGCCTCCGGTTGGTGGTCTGTTGGATTCGTTGTTGGTGTCCCACCTGCATACTTCTTCTTGGCTGCAGTATGGGGTATTTTGACGGTACTTCCTTTTCCTCCTGTCCCTTCTTAGGTGGCTGTGGTTGTTAGTGTCGGCTTGGTTTTTCTGGTGGGGGGTTGGGGGCCGTCGTCTTGCCACATACTGTCGCCTCGTTTCATGCGGCACTGGCGGAGCTGCTTTGTTTTGCTTTCGGTCTTGGTGTTGCTTCTGCACCGTTAGTAAGCTGTCTTACTCGTGCGCCGCTTGCACCGTCCTGGTCTCTGGTCAGCGTGCTCTGTCTTCTCCTCGGTTGGTGGCGCCCCTGCGGTTCCGGTTTGTTTTTTCGTAGGCTCTCTTTCCTGTTGGCATTTGCCTCTGGGGGTCGGGTCACTGGGCTTCTTGCCGCAGGGGTTTTCTGCTCCGTCGGTCTTGACATTTTGGTTTTTTGGTGGAAGCCGTCTCCATCTTTTCTGGCACGGGATGGGGCTGCGGCATTCCGGAGGGGTCCTTGGTTTGTTGGTGCTTCGTTGGTTGGGCCGGGGGTGTGTCGTGTTTTGTGTTCAGTGGCGGCCCTTCGCTGTTAATTGCGTGCCACGGCCTTTATGTCCAGGGTGCGCTTTGAGTTGATCCGGTTCTGTTCTTCCCTGTTCGCAGGTGAAGGTGTCCTGGGTTGCCCGCCGTGTTATTGCGGTTAGCCTGCCTGTGTTCTTTCCCCATGCCCGTGACGTTTGTGGCTTCACTGCTCTTGCTGCCGTCTGGGCGGTGTGTCCTTGCTGTCATTTGGGCATGGATCTTTTGGTGTTCGTACAGGGGCCTTGATGCTCGTTGTCTCGTGTTGATCCCGGGCCCCTTCGGGGCTGTGTCGCCTTGGGTTGGCGTTTGCTGCCAGTTGTCTCGCTTCCGTTGAGGGGTGCTTGGTGTCCGCCTCCCGGTTCCGTCCCTTTGACCTTCCTCTGTGGGTAGTTAGCTCCAAGGAGCCGACGGGGCTCCCCCCCGGAAAACCAGCATCGAATGTAATGAAACGCCATTTTCTGGGTGAGACCCGGAGGCTCCCCGACAACCCTCCCTCCCTCCGGTCAGCGGTTTTTCGCGTGTTTTGACATCCAGCCTCAGAACTGATGGGTGGATAGCCAGCGTGAGAGGTCTGGGGCTCCCCCTTCCCCTTCCCGGGGAGGGGGGAGCTGCGCAGACAGCGGCACGGTGACATGTGACATCATACTAGTTTGCTTGTTTTCTGTTGGGGAGTTCTATCCACTAGTTCGGCTTTGGTTGCAATTTTAACCAGAATAGGGGTTTGTTTTGGAATGCTTGCCTATCTGGATGCTTGACCCGGTCGATGGCAGACATAGAATGCTTCCAACCACACGGGGGGTTTCTATAGGCCATTGCTTCCCTTGCCTCTCTGAGGGAGACAGGTTCTGGCCATGGTCCCCGGTAGGCCCGAGAACTCCATACACATGACTGATGCCAAAGTCTGACATTAGCATATCAGCCTGGTAAAGCTCCGGGGAGCCTCCGGGTCTCACCCAGAAAATGGCGTTTCATTACATTCAACGCTGGTTTTTTATCATTGTGAATAGATGGGTCAAAGCCTTTTAAGAAAATCCAGAGATGCATAGGGGATACCATGGTTTAGCATGGACACCAAATCATTCAATGCTGGGGCCACATGCACAGGCGCAGCCGAATGCAGGTTGGGCCTCTGTAGAGAGGTTACAAATTAACCCCATGTGTGGAATGTGTAGGTCATAGGTAAATATTTGGAACAGGATTTTTTCAAAATGGTTAGTTATGTCACTGATAACAGATATATGCTTGTATAATATTTTCATGTAAAAAACAAAATATGCTTGTACATGTAAATTCTGCTTTGATTTGTATTAAGATTGATTGATTGATGAAGATTAAGCTACCCAAGAGGTAGCACGGCCATGAATAACCTGTAAGTGGTATATAGAAACACCTCCCAGTTATAGTGAACAGCATACAATCCCAACTCATGCATAGTGAGGACTTAACTGTTTCAACACACATTTGTTAGATGAATGCATAAACTTAATGTTTAAATCTCCAAAGAAATCATAAATATTAAGAGATTTGTTTGTATCGTGTGCAGATATTCCACCAGCGGTTTGGTTTGCGAAGGTTCCGAGAGAACCAGAAGGAGGTGATAAATGCTGCACTGCTGGGAAAGGATTGCTTTGTGCTCATGCCAACTGGAGGAGGCAAAAGTTTATGCTATCAGGTAAATTAGATCAAATTTTGTTTATTTCAATTGCTTATTGTAATATTTATTCACTATATAATATTTTTCTGTGGGGAGCCCCTTCGGCTCCCTGGCACTATAGTACTGATATATGTTATATTAGTCTGGGGCTTCTGTCAGTGGAGTCCTGCTTACCGGGGACCAGAGCTGGAACCTGGCTCCCTCAGAGAGGCACAGGGAGGAGACTCCCTTGTAATTTTTTTTTTTTTTTATAAGATATATACAAGAGTTGTTACATTCTTGTAGAGCCACTAGTACGCGTAGTGTTTCGGGCAGGTCCCTGGAATACGATCCCCTGCCGCGAAGAATTGTTTTTACAACCAAGTACTCATTTTACTGTTGAGTTAAACGGAGGCTACAGTTAAGGATTTGCGCCCAGTAAATCCTCCCCGGCCAGGATACGAACCCATGACAAAGCGCTCGCGGAACGCCAGGCGAGTGTCTTACCACTACACCACGGAGACTTTATTTAGGGGTATGCCTTGTCTGTCATCGACTGAGTCTAGGCACCCAAAAAGGTAGGCATCTCACACAAATTCCACATAGTAGAAATTGTAAAAACCCAAGACCAAACAGAGAAAAAGAACTCTCCAAAAGAAAACCAAGGAAACCAGCAAACAAGCAATTGTCATTCACCCTGCAGCTTGTCCGTACAGCCCTTCCCTCCCCGGGAGAGGGGAAACCTCGGGCCCACATGCTGGGCCCCTCACACCTCAGTTCGTGGCTGAAGTGAATCTCTGACAGATGTCGACTCTGGCCTCAGAATTTTTCTGGATTTTGTGCCTTTGTGGTATTTTCCTGCTGTTTGTGTTGCATTGGCCAGGAGTAACATACAGTACTATGGGCGGCATGTGCTTAGGGCTGCCTTCCTTAAGCGCCCTGTGAGTACTGCCCTTGGGTTCTAGGGTTACCTTCCCTGGTTCTCTCAGGCTTCACTTCCATAAGGGTTCATGCTGCTCAGCAGTTGCCCCGCCCTTTAGGACATCTGGGGTTTAGTAGCCTTTGTTTGGTCTTGGGTAGAAAGTGTTGTTGTTGTTGGCTTGCGGTGCAAGGTGCTGCGCAGCATGCCTTACGTGTTCCCTGTTCCTCCTGTTGTGATTGTGATTATGCAAGGTTTTCTTTTGCTTGGAGGAGGTCTGCCTGGTTTGACTATTAATCCCCCTAAGGTATTTTGGTGGCCCTCCTCTAGGTTTCCTTGCTTGTACACCTCTCAGGGATTCAGTTATAGCCCTCTTGTTGACATACATTGGCTCAACCGGCTCTGTAGCACCGTTACCTGTGCTTCCCGTAGGCTTTCCTGGGTACTCCAGTGGGCCCCTGGAAAATCCTGTCGGGGCTTGGTGGACCCATGGATGCGTCTTCCAAGTCCTATCTCACCTTGTGTGATGTTCAAGGTTGTTCGTTGCCCTTGTCTCAAGGTGACGGTCACCTGTTGTGCCTCCATCATGCTGCCTGTTGGGTCGGTGGCACCTACGACCCGGTGTCTTGCGAAACATGCTCCAAGCTCGTACTCCAGCACAGCAAAAGCATGCAAGAGTGCAAGCAAGAAGCGCAAGCAAGCACAAGGAAGAGCAAGCAAGCGCGAAGACTGCCTGTTGGGTCGGTGACACCTACGACCCAGTGTCTTGCAAGACATGTTCCCAGCTCGTACTCCAGTGCAAGCGCAGTTAAAAGCTCTGTACCTCAAGGTACAGTCCTTGCACCACTGCTGTTCCATATTCTCATATCGACAAAAATACAAGTCACAGCTTCGTATCATAATTTGCAGATGATACAAAAATCAGCATGAAAATTACCTCTGCTGAAGACATTGAAAAACTACAAACAGATATTAACAAAGTTTTCGATTGGGCAGCAGAAAATAACATGATGTTTAACAGTGATAAATTCCAGGTACTCAGGTACGGCAAAAATGAGGAGCTGAAACATAATACAGGGTACTAAACACAATCGAATCTGCCCATAGTAGGAAAGCAGCATGTCCAAGATTTGGGAATAATGATGTCTGACGACCTAACGTTTAGGGAGCATAACCAAGCAAATATTGCGTCAGCCAGAAAAATGATAGGATGGATTACGAGAACCTTCAAATCCAGAGATCCCATCACAATGGTTGTACTCTTGAAATTACTTGTGTTGTCCTGTCTGAGTACTGCTCAGTACTCACCTTCAGAGCAGGAGAGATTGCTGAAATAGAGGGAATACAGAGAACATATACGGCATGCATAGACGAGATAAAGCACCTAAATTATTGGGATCGTCTCAAAGCTCTCCAAATGTGCTCACTAGAAAGGAGACGAGAGAGATACCAAATAATATATACATGGAAAATACTGGAGGGCCAGGTCCCAAATCTACACAATAAAATAACGACATACTGGAGTGAAAGATATGGTAGAAAAAGCAGAATAGATCCAGTGAAGAGCACGGGTGCCATAGGTACAATCAGAGAACACTATACAGTATAAACATCAGAGGGCCACGGTTGTTCAACGTCCTACCAGCGACTATCAGAAGTATTGCCGGAACAACCGTGGACATTTTCTAGAGAAAACCAGACTGTTTTCTTCAAGGAGTACCGGACTGTGGTGAGTATGTGGGCCTGCGGGCCGCTCCAAGCAACAGCCTTGTGGACCAAACTCTCACAAGTCAAGCCTGGCCCGAGGCCAGGCTTGGGGAGTAGAACAACTCCTAGAACCCCATCAACCAGGTATCAACCAGGTATCCAATTTTCCTGTTCTTCTAAGGAAGTTCTAAGGGGCCAGGTGGCATCTACGTTGCATCATCGGTTTTGGTTGTTACAATGCACTAGGTTGGTTGCCCGTTCGTAGGCCCCGGGGCTGCCCCGTTTTGTTTCAGACTAGGAGGCCATCGTTCAGTCTGTCCCCTGGGTCTTTTCCCTGTCATTGTGGTTCCTCTGCCCCTTTCTCCCCTCTGCTGCTGGCTCTTTACCATCCAAGGGTTTTGGCGGGGTTTTGTTGGGGATGAGACTCGGGCAGCTCCAGGGGCTGCCCCATTTGTTGCGGGGATGGAGGCTATTGAGCCAGTTTCTCTCGCTGAGTCACCTGGGCCTTACCAGCAGGCCTCCTTCTGCTTGCCTTTCCCTTGGACTCTGTCTCTCTTCTAGGGTGGTGGGCGTGGAGGGTGGCTCTGCGCTGGGGCCTCTCTTGGGGGTTCCTGGGGCTGTGGGGGGAGCCTGCGAGCAGTTCTGGGTCTGTTTGCCCCTGCTTAGGCCTTGTGCTTTCTCCTTTTGATTTGGTGGGCATTTCCCCGCCTGACCACCAGGGCAGCGTTGCAGTTTGTTTACATGTAACTGCTGGGCATGTGAGCTCGCATTTTGGGGGCGTTTCTGTGGGAAGCCCCTTCAGCTCCCTGGAGCTTACTGGGCTGATTTATACGTATTAGACTGTACTCAGCTAGCTGTGCTTGTGGGGGTTGAGCTTTGGCTCTTTGGTGCCGCCTATCGTCTTTGGTCTGATCCCATGTGTGGCATCAATCTGTGAATTTCTTGCCTACTGGGGAACAGAGCCAGAACCTGGCCTCCTCTAGAAAGACTAGGGGAGCAATGGCTTAAAGAAACCCCATGTAATTGGAAGCATTCCATATCAACCATCGACCGGGGTTGGCACCCAGGAAGGTAGGCATCACAAAACAAACCCCACATGGTAAAAAAAAAAATTATTGCTACTCTAAGACTGAACAGGGAAAAGAACTCCCCAATTCTGAAACAAGCAAACAAGCAAACGTCACACCCCGTCGCTGTGTTGTCTGTCCACGCAGCTCCCCCGCTCCCGGGAGGAGGGAATGGGGGCTCCAGACCTTCCGCACTGGCAGCCCCACCATTCAGTTCTCAGCTGATGTTTGACTGTGGCGGTCATCGAGTCTGGTCTCTCAATCAGTGTAGCTTTGTGTCTTGTGTAATTCTTCGGTGTGTTGCACAAGCCAGGAGTTATTGATCAGTACTGGGGCTGCATGTGCCTAGGGGCCGCCTACCCTAAGCACCCTGTAAGTACTGCCCTTGCATTCTGGGGTTCCCTTCCTCAGTGCATTTGAAAATCGCTTCCATAGGGTTCTTCTGCTGCTTGGCAATTGCCCACCCTTGGGGTCAGCTGGGGTTTTCATTCCTCCTGTTTGGCCTTGGGTAGGAAGTGGTGTCATTGCTGGTAGGGGCACAAGGTACTGTGCAGCTTGTCTCCCATTATATACAGCGGCCGGTTCTGTTCCTCCTGGGGACATTGTGCTTTCGTTAAAATATTAACAATATTTTAATATTGTTAAAATGGTGGGGGTCTGCCCCCTTGGTTCTGATCTACTTCTGGTGTATTGGTGGTCCTCCACTAGCCCCCGTGCTTGTTCTTGTCGCAGAGGTTCAGTTTTTAGCAGTTCTTTTATTACTTTGGGCCCAACTGGTTAGCAGTACCTTGCCTGGACTTTGCTTAGCAGTCAGCCTGAGGGCCTTAGAAAACTAAGGGCTCATTGGACCTATGGACGCGTCCTCTGGGTTCCAACTCACCGAGTGCAGTTCGGAAGGTTGCTCTGTCCCCTTGTCTCAGGGTGACACCTGTTTTACCTCTGTCATGTTGATTGCTGGGTCAATGACATCTTTGACCCGGAGTCTTGCAAGTCTACTTCCTTGCTGGTAATCCAGATTACCCATTCCACCAATATTGATGTTTGGGTACAGGCAGTTTCGGCATTGCATGCAAGGTATAGGTTGCTGCAGAGTGCTAGGTTGGGTACTAGGTCCTATAGCTCCAGGTAGCCTCCAAGGGGTACCTCAGTTTAAGAATTTAATCCGTTCCTGGAGATGGTTCGTAACCCGAAAATTCGTAAACCGAAGCGAATTTCCCCATAAAAAATAATGGGAAATGAATTAATCCATTCCTGACTCCCCAAAAACTTCACTTCAAAGTAAATTTTATACCTAATTCACCCAAATCTTCACTACAAAAGTATGTTCAAGTTATTACTTACCCTTGCTGATGACTCCTGTTGGTGTATGGAAGATGGTGAGGAGGGGGGAGGAGGAGAGGTGTTACTGTTTGGAAGGGGAGTCCCCTTCCATTATAACATCAGGCAGTGAAGATTTCTCTGGAGTGCACTCTCTGGCACGTTTTGCCTGCATACCACTAGGTCCTGGTTGTGGCTCACTGCTTGATTTTCTCACAAGGAAACGTTCCATTGAAGATTGTTTTTCCCTTCTTTGCAACACTTGTCTGTAGTGAGGCATCACATTGTCATTGAAAAGATTAATGCAACGGCCTACTACAGCTTTCTCTGGGCGAGTCGTTTCAATAAAAGTTTGCATTTCTTCCCACATCTGACACCACTTCCTAATTGTTGAGGAAGGGACATTCTCTACTGCCTCATCCTCCTCTGAAGAAATATCCTCAGCTGCCTCTTGTTGCTGCTCCTTTTGAAGGGCTTGGAGTTCTTCGGTGGTCAGTTCTTCGTTGTGTTCTTCCACCAACTCCTCCACATCAGCACCATCCAATTCCAAGCCCATTTTCTGGCCCAGAGTAACAATTTCCTCAGCAATAGGCACTTCATTTACAGGCTCAAACCCCTCAAAGTCTAGTTCTGAAACACATTCAGGCCACAATTTTCTCCAGCCAGAGATCAGGGTTCTTTGAGTCACTTGCTAGGCTTTGTCAACGAACTTTAAAGCATTACAAATGTTAAAATGTTTTTTCCAGAACTCTTTGAGGGTAAGGTTTGTGGCATCAGTTACGTCAAAACATTTCCGGAAAAGTGCCCTTTCATAAAGTTTCCAAAAATTCGCTATAATTTTCTGGTCCACAGGCTGAATTAGAGGAGTGGTGTTGTTAGGAGGAAGGAACTTTATTGCGACAAAATTAAATTTGTCCAACAATGCATCTTCTAAGCCTGGAGGATTAGCAGGAGCATTGTCGAGGAGAAGCAGGGCCTTGGGTGGCAAACTTTTCTCCTGCAGATATTTTTGTATGGCAGGGCACACCACATCATTCACCCACTCCATAAAAAAAATCCTAGTCACCCATGCCTTATTATTAGCCCTTCACATCACACACATTTGGTTTTTCTGCACAATATAATTTTTGAAAACCCTTGGGTTTTCAGAATGATACACAAGCAAGGGTTTAATTTTCAAATCGCCACTCGCATTTCCACACAGCACAAGCGTAAACCTATCTATCATAGGCTTGTGTACAGGCAATGATTTCTCCTCCTTGGTAATGTATGTCTTCTTAGGCAATCTTTTCCAGAAGAGTCCTGTCTCATCACAATTAAACACTTGTTGCTGTAGGTATCCCTCAGCCTCTACAAAATCTTTGAATTCTTCAATAAATCATTCAGCAGCTGGTTTCTCTGAGCTGGCAGCCTCCCCATGCCTCACAACACTATGAATACCACTTCTTTTCTTAAATTTTTCAAACCATCCCCTGCTTGCCTTAAAGTCTTTCGTATCTGCACTCGTTCCAGGGGTTTTCTTTACAAAGTCTTTGTGCAATATCCTGGCTTTCTCATAAATGATGGCCTCTGAAACACTATTACCCACTAACTCCTTGTTGTGTATCCAAATTAATAACAACTTTTCCACATCCTCAAGTATTTGTGTT